ACACACACACACACACACACACACACACACACACACACACACACACACACCAGCAGTACGTCCTGCACAGCGGGAGGGGAGGAGGGAAAGAAACACAGCGGGGCAGCTGCAGCCCTAACGGACCGAACTTCAGTCAAACAGACCCAACACTTTTATTCCTGATTTAAACAGGGATCATGTGAGCAGCTGCAGCTGTATGCTTTTATTTTTTCTGTCAGGCTGTCGGAGCGCTCCTCCTCCTCTGTCCTGTGAGGACAGCTCAGCCGAGGCTGTCACGTTCTCTCGTCCTGACCACACCTCCTCTCTCTAACCCACACCCCCTCCCCTACCCACACCCCCTCCCCTACCCACTTTGATGGATTTTTCAAATTTCGCCTTGGGGCGGAGTTATCTTTTCATAAGGGGGTACGATACACTTTAAGTACAGTAACAAAGTATTTGTACTTAGTTACTGTACAGCTCTGGAGAGGACAAACTTATTAAAGTTTTGGACCTTTATTGTTTTTAGTTATAGAGTAAATACTGATGTTAAAGTGTAAAAAGCACAGATTAAATAGAAAAAATTTGCAACGATAACCTTTTTCGGTTTTTTAGAAACATTTAGAAAGGTCAGTGTCCATCTGACCTGTAAGGTCAGCCTTTAATCACCTAACTGTTGTTTTATCTGAACTTTAAAATGAATAACATATTTTAAAAAGGGTAGAACCGACTGTTCTGGCTGATGTAACATGTGATTTCACAGACGTGGATGAGCCTCCTCGCAGCGACGCTGGACAGGATGTGGTGATCCAGCTGCCCACGGACTGGGCGGTCCTGGACGGGAGAGACAGCGTGGACGACCATGGGATCACCCACTACGAGTGGACTCTTGTTAAGGGAGACACAGCCATCAGCATGAAGGTCAGGATGAATTTATCACATCTGTGAAAACAATCAAAATGTATTCAGTGAGTCTCCACAGTTAGAGAGCAGCTGGAGACTCAAACTGTAAGAATAAAGTTTTTATCATCATAATCTGGAAGTAGCAGAGGGGAGGAGTCTGAAGGAAACTTTGATCATAGTCTGCCTACTTTTGACACATTATAGCCCCTCAAAAACAAAACCTTTTCTACTGCACTCACTGTTGAGTCTTTGCACCTGTGACCATTTTTTATTTAACAGATAGAAAAAAACATATTCTCAGCTGTGATTTAATCTGCTCCAGATCATTAGCATTGTTTTTAAATCTTTTAAATAGGTTTCTGTCAGGAGAGCTTCCCTGCAGCTGTCAAAGTACAGTTCTTGTTTTTATTTTATTTTATTTTATTTTATTTTATTTTTTGACAACTATTTCTGTCCTGCACTACACTTTTACCAAGTTGGGACACCAGGTCAAGATTAGTTTGATATGCAGGGAATTCTTATCTCAGTCCAAAATACTCAAAGATGAGGAAACAGCTTTTTCTTTTATGGTAATTTATTACAAAAATATATCAGGAATCAATTCCATTGGATCATGAATAAAACAAGTAAAAATAACAACATGAAAGATGAAGCGATAAGGTTTCTAAAAGAGTTAAAGGTGAAAATGATTTTAGACTTGATGTTATATGGCTACATTAAGATCTGGATGTTTAACCTTTTATAGAATAAAATATATTTTTCACAAAGGAAATATTTTATTTTGAAGGAGATTTAATAAATCATCAACTGAATGTTTTGTATTTTTATACTTTCTGATCACTGCAGTCTTAAGGTTTAAAACAGAGAATGTGTGTGTGTGTGTGTGTGTGTGTGTGTGTGTGTGTGTGTGTGTGTGTGT